AGGAAATTACTGCATCTTGATATATGTGGACATTCAACTCTAAAAGATACTACTAAACTTTTTCCCCCATGTGCTTACACCAACTTACACTGCCACTAGCAATGTAGAAGAGTTGCTACAGATTCACAGCTATAATTTTTGCCAACTGAATGGTATACAATGGTATCTCACATAGTGATTTTTAACATTATCTTCATATGTTTACTGACCACATCTCCTTTTACTTGATTTTTCTATGTAGAATGAAACAGGAATACAATTTCAAATAGTATGCCCATGAATAACCAATTTCCCCCCATTCACTGAATCGCCTCTCCTTTTCTCACTGAAAGACATATGTCATCACATATCATATAGGTGTTGGTCTCTTTCTGAGCTGTCTAATCCATTGATCATGCTGCCTATTCCCATGCCAACACCACAATATCTTAATTTCTACATATTAATAATAAGCACCCAATTTGCAGCCGGGAACCTGTGGCCTCAAGGCCACATGTGGCTCTCCAGATCCCCGAATGTGGCCCTTTAACTGAATCCAAACTTCACAGAACAAATCCCTTTATTATTATTTATTATTATTATTGTTAAAAGGATTTGTTCTGTGAAATTTGGATTCAGTCAAAAGGCTAAGGATCCAGAAAGCAACATGTGGCCCCGAGGCTACACGTTCCTCACAAATCAAATGCTACGAAAAATCCTGTCGGAATTTTGATTGAAATTCCATCTACAAGTCAATTTGAGGAAAATTCACATTTTTACAATACTGTCTTTCTGATCATGAACATGATGTAAATATCTATTTGCTTAGATCTTCTTTATAATTCTTTCGTGTAGAGGTCCTGAATTTTTTTCATTAGATTTAGTCCTAGACATAAATGTTGACATTCTCTGACTTTATTGTGAATGATGTCTTAGTTATGTTTCTAAATGTATGCTGATAATATATAGAAATAAAGTTGACTTTTGTATACTAATCTTATTTTCAATTACCTTGCTAAACTCTATTATTTCTAATAATTTGAAGTTTTGGGGGAGTTTTCGATGCAAAAACTCTTATTTGTAAATAAGAAGTTTTATTTCCTCCTTTCCAAACCTTCTGCTTCTGTAATTTATTTTTGTCATATTGTGCCTATGGAATCTTCAAGAAAATACTGAATAGAAATGGTGCTAATGAACATCCTCCTATAGTTAATTTTTTTAACTACACAAAGACTTTATTTATCTTTGTTTTAAATTACTTTCTGACTTCTTTGGCTTAATTTGTTACAAACAAATAATTGTATATAAGCAATAATTTAAAAGTAGCAGTGTTCTAGGGCCTTGGAATTTAAAATATTAGGGATCTATATTTCATCATATATATCCTAAACAAAAATTTTAACAGTAGTCAAAATTCTTGAAGTTTTATTATTATTTTTTAGAAGTTGAATCAAGTCAGTTTGCCTCATTGTTGGAAGCCTCATCAAAATTCTGAACAAGATCCCCTTCCTCCCCAATAGCAAGCGGTACTTTTCCATCCGGCTTCTGCCAGTGTCCTTAAGTTGTTTTGACACCAAGCTGGTTTAAGATGCTGGGTGGCATTTCTGTCAGCTGCTTTTCTCAGCTTGGCTGGTAATGGCAAAAGTGTTTGCTGCCAGGGATGTCTGAATATTGGGACTATAAAAGTGGATTACCATTCCCTGGTTGGCAAACATATCTATCTCTTTAATATCAGAGATAATATTTATTCTTACTTTCTTTAAGGAGAACTAAAGATTTTTATTATTTATTGTAACAGGTAATGTTTATTATATTATCTGAAGGTAGTTCCTTTTTAGCAATGCACAATTGTGCCTAAAGTTTGGCAAGTTTCTCTTGGTTTATGATGGGTTCTTTCATTTTGTGGCACTCAAGAGATCTCAGGCAAACCAGCTAAGAGTCCAGTCTCTGGTTTTAAAGGGAAAGCTTCTGAAATCCAACTATTCTGAATACAGTTTATTCTATTTGCTTTGTTTTAAGATAAAGGAGGTTCCCTTCTATTTCTAATTTACTGATCTTTAAAAAAAAAATCATGAGTATGTATTGAATTTTTACCGAATTCTCTATCAAAGTTATTTTCTTTTAAACTGTTAATGTGTTTAGTTACATATACAGATTTTCTAATATGAAATTCTAGTATACCTGGGATAAATCCAATTGGACACATTGTATTATCTTTTTTATGTACACAATTAAATTTGATTTACTACTATTTTGTTGAGAATTTTTACATGTATATCAGTAAGTGAAACAGACCTGTAATTTTTTTTAACATTATGGTGTCCTTATTCACGCTGGCCTCAAAAATTGAGCAGGAGAGAATTCCCATCAGTTTTACCTTAACAAATGGAATTATGCATAGCCTCTGGGAACCCAGCTTGTATGCAAGTTGAAGAACTTCACAGTTGGCTAAAACTTCTAATTCACCTTAGTCTTCAAGTTTAAAAATATAGATCTTTATGTCCCATAAAAGATTTTGGACTTTTAGCAAGCACCTCAAATGATTCTGATCAAGATGATCTACTGGCCATACTTTGAAAAACACCATCCTGGTAGAGAAAGTCCCCTGGCTGCCCATCTGCTCTCACAGCAATCCAGAGCCGAGACAGGCTCCACAGTGCTGTGTGGTGAAGCTTCTAGTCAAAGAGCTGAAGAGGTTAAATGCCTTTGCTTCCCCTTAGCATTTTTTGGTAGTTATGTTCATGGTTTGTGGACAGTCCTGGCTTATGCCTATTATTCCAACATAATGAGTAACAGTTCACCTTTTCATTTAAAAAAAGTCTATTTGGATATGTCTTAGCCCTCTTTTATAAGCCTTCATATTACAGTCTCTTTTCCTGCTCATGGGAGGACGGGCCAGAGACTGACTCAGGCTTGTATGACCTCTTCTCCCTGTTTCAATCCCCTCCCCCAGCTCTCAATGCCAAGTCAAAGCCAGAGTTTGAAAGGGTATGGAATTTGTGCATAAACAAAGGCTAAATATCCTTACATTTCAGGGTATTCAGTTTACCAGGTACAAAATCTACAAAGTAATTTGGGCTAAAGCCCTAGCTATTGATACTACAAAAATTTATTTTGCCTTTAAAAGTCCACATAGCCATGGCAAGCTGTAAGAATTCTTGGAGTTTGGACCACAGAGGGGGGAAAAAAATCTTCATATCACAACACATTAATAATAAAAATAATAAATAAATATTAGATTTTTACTCTTCCAATCTATTCAGGTCCAAGACAGGTCTCAAGCTGTCACAAATGGAAATGTGCCAAATGAGGAATAAAGGTGGTCCGAGAAGTATTAGTAATATGAAATGTCTAAGTTCTGAAACCTTTTTTTATTTTTTTCACAGTGCTTTTCCTTGAGGACCAGCTCTCCACTTTCATTTCAACCAAAGTTCATTACAAGCTTATTTATTTTGAGAAGTCCAATTTACATGCTCATATTCATAACTAAAGAATCTATCTTATCTTCTAAGGACAGTTTAAAACAGGTATTCAATGAATGTTGTTTCAAAGAACTGTATGGAAATATAAAAATCAGGCTTTTAAAGTCTCTTATTAACAATATGAAAATAAGATACACTGGCAGTGTCTTATATAAGAAAGCTTGTAATTTCACTCATACATAATAAACTTCAATCAATAAAGCTGAATATTAGAGGTATCTATTTCTATATTATCTAGGCTTGAAAACTCTCTCTTCAGTTTCAACACTCCTACCATATTTTCAATTCTTCCTTTGCAATTACTTTCTTTCTTTATAGTTCCATCATTCCATCACTGCCTCGCCACCAGTGTCACGTTAGCAATAGCAGCCGCCTGTTGAGCACTCACTATGTGCCTGGCGTGGCTACGGGGACTTTACATAATTAGCTTATTTAATCCCCACAATGATCTTTTAAGAAAAGAAATATTATCCATAACTATAGAGATGAGAAAAATGAAGCATAAAGAAGGTAAGCTGGTAAGTGGCAGTGCTGGTATTTAAACAGTCATCTTAACCATTCATTTAGAGCTGTCCTTCACAAATCACCTCACACCTTCACAAAGCTGCTACTACCTGTTTACATGATCTCACACCTCCCTTTTTTTGGAAATTTACTCAACATAATGAGGTTAGATGATCTCTACCATTAAAACATTCCCCTGTTCAATTATCTATTTTACCTAAAATTAATTATAAAATACAGATCAAATTTGTACAAACCAGGTGGCCAAGACTTTCTTCAATCTCTACCCATCCCTCCTTCTGGCCTTGTTCGTCATTTAGCCCATCATGTGAACACTAAGCTGGAAGTTATCTAGACTACTTTCTTATTCTCTCACAGGGCCTAGAGCAATGTCTGGGACATTCCAGCTGCCAAAAATGTTTGCTAGATTGGCTCTTCTGATACCTAGCTATAGGTTACTTTGATACCAGGGTTCATGGTGTTCACAAAGAATGTCCTTACTACTTCCTCATTATAATAGTGTTGTTGGCCCCCCGGTGCGGTGCCTCATACATGTAATGCTAGCACTCTGGGAGGACAAGGTGGGTGAATTCTTTAAGCTCAGGAGTTTGAAACCAGCCTGAGCATGAGCAAGACCACATCTCTACTATAAATAGAAAGAAATTAATTGGCCAACTAAAAATATGTAGAAAAAATTAGCCAGGCATGGTGGCTTGTGCCTGTAGTCCCAGCTACTCGGGAGGCTGAGGCAGAAGGATTGCTTGAGCCCAGAAGGCCGAGGTTGCTGTGAGCTAGGCTGACGCCACGGCACTCTAGTCCAGGCAACACAGTGAGACTCTGTCTCAAAAAAAAATAAAAAAATAAAAAAAAATATAATAGTGTTGTTTAACAATTCAAAACCTCACCTATGACAAAGTAAGACAATCAGACAATTGTTTTTATCTTTTCTTTGGCAAAATAATAGCAACTGGTGGTTCTATCCAACAGTGTGATTAAAGAAGTATTCTTAATATTACCAAAAATTTTATTACTAACCTGTTGAGGAGTAATGGTATCTCTATAACTTGGTAAAATTTTTAGGGTGACACTTCCACTAATATTTTTCAGTAATTCTTGTAATTCCTTTGGATTGTTTCCAACCTCATGGCCATTAACTTCTTTAATGATATCTCCCACATGAAGTAGACCTTGTCGATCTATCATTCCTCCATGAAGAATTCTGGCGATTACTAGGTCATTATTTTCAACTCTAAATGTTACACCCTATAGAAAATAAGAAACAGAATTATCATTCATTTTATTTTATTAATATTAGGGATAAATACTTAAATGCTCATGAACATATATAAGAAAATAATTCTAAAACCAGGTAAATGAATCGTTCTTACTTTTCTCATGTTCTCTCCTGTCTCAATATTCAAACACCATTAAAATGTGCAACTGTGGCAATATATACTACTCCCTGAAAAAGGGCTTCAATGGTAAGGTTAACCTTAAAAATGAAACATATACTAGTATCTAGGCTGTATTCCACAGCATAATGGAAGTTCAAGGGAGCAAGAAAAAGTATTTGTGCAGCCTAAAGAACTTACTTCTGGCTTTTTTTCCCCACTTCACTGTTCTTATAGTCAGGATCCAGAAATAACAATTTTAGCAGGAAATAGTAGACTTCACTACTTATAGAGTTCCACCATAGCTTCACTTTTTAATAACAATCTTCTTCCATGTTTTGATACTATCATTAACATTTGTTCAAAGAGTAGTTCATTTCTACATTTTTGCTGTCCGTTGGCATACTTCTTCTATCTTCTGTTTCAGTTTAACTTTTCAATTTTGGTTTAATTTTGCAGGCTAAATTGAGTTGAGAAAGCACCTGCTATGTATTTATACACAGGCCAAAAAAGACTGATAAAACAAACATGAATACACTTTTCATAAAAATATATTAAGGAAAAGGAAAAAAGATGACAGAGTAGTGACTGAACCACAAATTATGTCATATTTCAGATTTAAGAAGGCACTAATTTATTTACTCACCAATGGCTCCCCAGCTCTTTTGTGAATACCAAGAATACGAATGGCATCTACTGGTAATAACTGATTATTGATAGAAGCATTATTCATTTCTGGGCTTGATGGAGGTGACTCATAACACTTTGATGCCACAATATCATGGGCCTCCAAGAGTGACTATAAGGAGTCAGAATAGCCTGTGGTTATTAACTACTGATGAAATATGTTACTAAAAATAATTTGTTAGTTCATTATCCCAGTAGAGTACTAAAAATTTCCAAGGCACACATTAAATTCCCAAATATAAGTTGAATCAAATACATGTAGAATCTTAATATAAAAGCATACACTTTTACTTATCATCAAAAAATATCATATTCCTTGTTTGATACGTGAGGAGACAGAGTTCAGTGACACTTTTTAAAGTGGCATGTTCACTGGAAACTGCTCCTAGGTTTCTAAGTCTGGTGCAATGAAGGTACTGAATTTCACTGCTACCATTGTAATTATCCTTATTGGATGTTTATCATTAGTCTCTATTTATTAAGGTATTATAAAAACCCAAATGACAGGAATCCTAACTTTCATCCTAATGTTGCCATGCACAAAATGTCCATTAAAGAGATGTTCAATAGAAAATGGATAAATATCAGCATCTTGTCTCAGTGACAGAAAATGTATACTACCAATAAAGGTTTTAGTCTACAAAAGAAACACTTTTTGAAAAAAAAAAAAAAGGTCAGTAATGGCCCTGAATATAATGTATATTTTATCTTCTATATTTACTATGTATGTGTGATCAAAATCACCAGTGATTTTGATCTAGCTTTCTAGGAATTTCTTGCATTTTTGTTGTACATTTAAAAAGATCTTCATTCTTTATCTTAAAGGAATAATTTTTACTACAATTGTGAATAAAGCTAGGTTTAAAAAATAATTTTGGATGGATTGAATAGAAGTTCAAAAATCGTAAAACAACACAGAAAGAAGGACGCAAATATCAACATGTTCAGAATGGAAGTAATCAGGATACTGGCTTAATTGGTAATTAATTTCTGGTCATTTCATGAAACCATTTCTAAGATTAGAGAAAAAGGAAACCATTTTAAGACTGGAGTTTAAACAAACAAACAAAACCCAACTCACTCAAATCCAAATCCATATATAAGAATTCTTTCTATAAATGCTGAAAGTTACTCAAAAACTCTAACCTGGGCTGCTTAGTTTTCCATCCTATCCTCTCCTTAGGCAATATTATTTACTCCCATGACTTGAACTACTGCTTATACAATGATAACTCCCAATTTCATATCTCCAGTCCAGAACTCTCATGTGCTTCAGGTTCACATACTAAATCTGCCTCAATTGCCAAAAATCATGGCAATTTGAAAACTAAAATTAGTAAGGATTGGAGAGGATTGAAACATTGAATTAATGAAAAATCCATAGATCCACAATGCTAAATTAAAAAAACTCTTTTCTTTGAAAATTGGTAAAAGGAAGCATCAAGCATATTCTTGCCTTTTCAATAGAAAATGCATTATAGGATAACTAAATAACAATAGTCCAATTGATATGAAGCTTTACATTACAGAAGAACAACAGCTAATTAAGTGTAGAACGAGAGAACTGAAAAATGTGCATTTGTGTGTAGAAAAATATGAAGGAATATGGACTAAGATACTAATGATCCTTAAAATACATTATGTCCAAAACAATCTTCCCCAGAATATTCCTTATCTCAATGAATGGCCATCAACTGTTTGTGAGAAATTGTTCTTATCAACTTCCCACATATCCCTTTTGCAACTGTCATGTATAGCCAATCACCAAGTCCTCTTGATTTTATCACGTTAAGACTTGAAAATACTCACATTTCTCACTATTTTGCCATCACAATTTCCTGCCTTCGTACTTAACCATCTTGCTCTACAATTTGACCTTTCCCTGGTAATACCCAGCACATCCCAACCCACCAGGTTTCCTACTATTCTCAGGATAAAGTTCAAAGACCTAAGTATGCCAAGCTGCCCTTACATATAGGTATCTCTGACTTGTGTCCATTTTTTTGTACCTAAGACACCAATTTATGTAGGAACCATATGACAATAAATATTCACATTTTATAGTAACATTATTGCAGAGTCACACAAAGTCTCTGGCTAAGAGCAAGCAAGGGATGATGTTACCATTTGATTATCTGTGCCGAGATTTGTGGTGGAAAGTAGGTAACACTTTATTCTTCTATCCCAGCACCATTCCTTCTCCACTAAAATGCAATGTCCCCATCATAAATCAAGTTACCATATACAACTGAATGTATTTCTGGGGTTTCTATTATCTTCAATTAGTCTATTTTTCTAACATTGCTCCGATACCATGCTTTTTAAATTATTACAGACTTACAATACATTTTTCCCACCCTTCTTCTTCTGAAATGGATTATTCTTTGTTAAACTGATTCACTTGTACAGGCTGATGCTGAAATTGCACTTATTTCTCTACCCATGGAGAGTATGTTGTGTAATAGTTTCTATCTCAACACAGCTCTCTTTTGTTCCAGTCATTGAATGCACCCCTATCTTGAGCAGTGATATTTGCAACCTCTAATGAAAATACTGATTTAGGCAAGGATATTAATTTGTGTTCATCAGTAGGTAAATGGTTGATAGGAAATAGAATTTGGATAATGTCAGAATAATAATACACTAGATTACTTCCTAGTGGAGAGGATTTCAAAAAAAACAACCAGGCTGTCATCACCTTTAATCAATGGACCCAATCTCAGGATCGATGCTGGTGGGTCAACCAGGTATCATATATCTTCTGAAGTGGTTTAATTCATGCTGCATCACATAAGATGCATTCTAACTCCAAATAATTAACTTGAATCATCAACCTTTTATATAGAAATTCTGTTTACGGGAAATAGAAGGAATAACTAAACACAGCAACGAAGCAACCAAATCTTCAATAGATCAACATCATAATCTAGGGGAAAGGGATGGATGGTTCTACCAGATGCCACACATGGACCTAAGCTAGAAACTCATATGTCCAAACCATCTGTAAATAATATTTGGTGTTAAATGGAGAAGTCTGAATTCAGATTGTGTATTATGAGAGACGGAAGTTCACTGAAATGGAAAAGTAGAAATCAACAACTGAAGAAAAAGGTAAGTTAAAAAGAGCTTCTGCAAAATGACCTCAAATTAGTAAAAAAATTATGTATCTTGAGCAGCAATACTAAAATGTGTGTATTACTGGGCCCAAAAAGGGGAAACAGAATAGTAGTAAGGAAGAAAAAAATCCATTACCCACAGTAGGGAAAATGTAGTCTCTAGTATGTGATCTGATGGTAAACCAAGGTTGACGTTTTCTTTAACTGTAAAAAGGAAAATTGCATTTTTGTGACAGTGTACATTAATGTAGTGTCTATACCAGGGGTGGGGAAGCTGCAGCCTTAAGGACACATGTGGCCTTCTAGGACTTTCTAGGTCCTTAAGTGTGGCTTTTTGACTGAATCCAGATTTTATAGAACAAATTCTTTTATTTTTGTTAATACATTTGTTTATCTTTTGTATTTTTTAAATGAACACAATAAAACAAGTTTCAATGAAATAATCCTCCCAGATTGACCGGCACAACGAGAGCATTAATAAAGCCACGAGGGCTAAACTGATGGCTGCTATGCTCATGATTTAGTTCTAACTTCCCCAGCCTGACTGGCACCACTACGGCATGAGGCTGGTTAGTGACAGTTTATGGAGGTCGTATACATCAATTTGTTATCAGCTTTTGATAACTCTGCACCATGTTTCTGTTTGAAGTGGAATTTGTAAATAGATGCACAGCCTGACAGTGTTTTTAAATTCTGTCTGCTTAACAGCCCATCATGTCAAAGACGACCAAGAGAGGGCCGGGCGGCACGGTGGCTCCCGCCTGTAATCCTAGCACTCTGGGAGGCCGAGGCAGGTGGATTGTTTGAGCTCAGGAGTTCGAGACCAGCCTGAGCAACAATGAGACCCCATCTCTCTCCCAAAAATAGAAAAAATTAGCTGGGCACAGTGGCGCATGCTTGTAGTGCCAGCTACTTGGGAGGCTGAGGCAGAAGGATCGCTTGAGCCCAAGAACGTGAGGTTGCTGTGAGCTAGGCTGATGCCATGGCACTCTAGCCAGGGCTACAAAGTGAGACTCTGTCTCAAAAAAAAAAATAAAAAACATAGAAGACCAAGAGAACACTGAATGAAGAAAGCAGATTTTTTAATAAGGATTGGAAACTGCAATATTATCTTGTTTCTGCTAAAGATAAGATTTGCTTGCTTTGTGATACTACAATATCAACATTAAAGAAACTCAAAGCTCATCAGCATTATAACACTCATAAGGACCACAAATATTTTAAATTAGAGGGAGAGGTGTGAAAGGTTGTATCACAGAAATTAAAAGATGAAAAACAAAAGCAAAAACAATTCTTTCAAGCAGCAGTAAGATCTGGAAATAATGCCATGGGAGCAACTTATGAATTAGTTCATATACATGTGACAAAAGGGAAGCCATTCGATGATGTAGAAATTGTGAAAGGATTAATTGTCAAAGTTGTAGGATACTTAGACTCTGATAATGTTTCAAAGTACAAACAACTGTCTCTTTCAGGGAGAACCATAATGAACCACAGAATGAATTAGCCTTCAACTTAACAGAACAACTCCATGCAATACTTCAAAAGGAAAATATATTATTCAATCACTTTGGATGAATTGACTGATACTAGTGACTCAGTGCAGATTTTATACTTCATTCGGATCATAACAGAAGATTTTCTTTCCTGTGAAGAGTTACTTGCTTTGGGCACTCTTGGGAACAGAACACGAGGAATAGATATCTTCAACAACTTTCAAAATAAATGCTGTGAAGTTGGACTGAATTTAGTGAGTGTACGTACACATGGTGCACCTTCTATGACGGGAAAACATGAAGGGTTTATTGCACAGATAATAAAAGTATTAACAGATCCAGATGCTCTCATTTCTTTTCATTGTATCTTGCATCAGCAAAATCTCTGTGCTAAAGCTACTGTTTTAAGTGATACTTTGCAAGAAGTTATAAGTATTGTTAACTATATTCATATAAATGCAACATGGCATCATCATCAGTTTCATAACATGCTAAAGTTGACCAAGGAGGTATTCAGTGTGGATTTGCCATATCATTCTAAAGTGTGTTGGCTATTACAAGGACAGGTGTTAGCCAAAATTTTGTCTCTGCAAGAACAGATAAATTTTATGAAGAACAGAATCAGCAATGTGAATTATTGAAAGAAGATTTTTATAGGAAGGAGGCATTTCTGTGTGATAACATGTCAAATCAAAATGACTTCAATATTTCTTTACAATATTTCTTAGTTTTACAAGGTAAAACTAAGTCTATATATGATATGTGGCAAAAAATTCAAGCATTTTGGAAAAAGTTATCTTTTTTCAAAACATTTCTTCAGAAGGAAATTTCCGATGACCATTTTCCCCCATTAGCAAAGGTCACTGATGAGCAGGATGACAAATGTGAATTGTTTGAAGAATATGCAGCTGTTACAGACCTATTAATTGGATAATACAACAAAAGTTTTACTGACTTTGAGAATCATGACATCACACTCAAATTAGCATTTCCAGTCTCACCTAGTTGATATCACCAACTCACCTAAAGAACTACAGATAGAATTGACTGAGTTTTCAGTGGATGACATTCTAAAGTCATTGATAAATGCTAAGAAAGCTCCAATCGAAATATGGGAAAATGCAGTAAAATACCCCTGCCTTCAGCAACACGCCCGAAAAATGCTTTCTTGCTTTTCAATTGCTTATTGCTGTGAATCTACATTCTCCTACCTTACCCAAATCAAGACTCCGTTAAGGTCACAAATAATTGATTTCCATCTAGAAGAGCAACTGAAACTGAGAACCTCCATGCTGCAACCAAATATTCAAATACTTTCCAACAAAAAGCAGCAAAAAGCTTTCCAACAAAAATGCTTTCCAACATAACAAAGTCATTAAAAGGTTACTTAACTTTAAAATTAACAAATAGTTTTCACTTTTTGATATTATTAAGTACATAGTAGTTAGTCTTTTACAAAATAATGTATATTTTGAAGTATATCTAATTGAAGTTTCTTGAATGCATCCTTATTTGATTACAGCTAAATTAATGTGGCCTTCCAACATTAAAAGATTCCCCACTCTGGGTCTATAGTTACATGTGTATGTTTATGTATCCTCAGCATATCAGGATATTAAAATACCTAAGTTGGAATTTACATACCAAATGTGGTCCCAAATAATCTTTGGGGAAAAAAATCACCTTAAACTGAAACTTAACTACAAAAGAGTGATAGGGAAAGGTTACCTGGAAGTGAGGCTCTTTGAGTATACCAACTAGTTCTGCCACATTTTCATCCACATTTATTAGGGGAGTGATATCTTCAAGAATTTCATTGACTAATTCCAGGTTATTGTCACTGACAGCTTCTAGTTTTGAATCTTCTAGCTTCTCATGAGCCTGAAAAGACAACAGTGCATTTAAGTATTATACTTGCTTGTTTTGCTCCAGACCATGGTTATTTCTTGATTTATTTCTTTTTCGTAAAGTTATAAAAGATATTACTTGGAAGTTTGAGTCAAGGAAACCAAATTTAATCTTTCAATCAGAAGCAATATATAGATTTTATGGAAAGTGTACCATATAATTATAAATCTTGGCCTCTATTTCTATCCTAAAAGACATGAAATATTCATTTTTGTAACTAAACCATGAAAAAATTGAAGAAACCAGATAACTATTTTAAAAATGTATTATAGTCCTTATATACCAAGAGAATTTCCTAATGACTTTCTAGTCAAGGCTCAAACTCTAGATGCTATTATTTATGTTTTATTAAAATAAATAAGTACAATAAAAACAAAGATTAGGAATATAATAATTATATATGTTAACATTTTAAAAAATGATAAAATCATTTTGGAAACCCTACATTCCTGAATTTACTATCTTCTAATTTTGAAAATCAGCAAAAAAGTCAATTTAGAGCATGTGGCCCTTGAACTGAATCTTGAAAGACCATATGATTTAATTAGGAGAATGATTCTCTCCTGTCTTTATATCTTAAGCTGTTTTTGTTTTTCAAATCTTATATTTTTTTCCATAGAAAATGAACCATGAATCACTGTCACAGAAAATAAATAATCCTAATTATCCTTTAATAGTAGGTGTAGAGTTTTTAATTTAAACTGAGAATGAACACTAAGCTGGCTCTATCTTTTAAGTGCTCTTTGCTTTCTTGATAAATGGTTGCTATCTGATTTTGAAGATAGGAAAAGCATAATTATCAAGAATTAAATGATCAATAAAACCACGTAAGTTTGACATTGTGGGTTATTAAAAAAACCTACATAAGATGACAAATCTTACACTTATATTTTAATATTCAATTCTGTAAGTGCTGAAGAGAAATTTAAATTTAAAGTGCTAACAGTAGCAACTAAACTTTATCAAATACCTATACTGTCATACATATTATTTCTATCATACAGAGTGCATCTTTCAGAATCCAAATAAAACATTATAATTTTAAAAAAGACATTTTTTTTGTTTAAATGTATTTTTTTCTAAAGGATTCACAAGTGTGAAATAAGTCCTTAAGTGAAGAGAGGGCTATTATATATTAAGCAACATTTTTAAGAAAGACCTCAAAAGAAGGAATTTTAAAAGTCATATGAAATAGACTGTTAAAGGAGAAAAAGATTATTATTAAACAAAAAGAAAAATATCAAAAGACCAAATGTAAATTAAACAGATGAAAAGATTCCTATTAGATAAGAAAAAATTAGAAGGACTAGAAAATGCCACAAAGAATGAGCATAGGTAATTTTGTAATTTTCTGAACGTATGTATTAGAGCCAGATAAGGATGGGATGAAGGACACTCAATATTTACTATGATATGATTACCAGCATTTGAAAAAACTAAAATAATCTACGTAATTAGTTAACTCTTAAAAAATAAACTAGAATTGCCAATTGCTTAAATACAAATATTGGCTGGTAAAAACAAACAAACAAAAACACCTAATTTAGCATCTGTAACCTTGAGATACTCCAATACTCCAATGGTTGAATAACAAGAAAGCTCATACAGAAAGGAAAGAACCTTAATATTTATTGAGGGCTTTTGTGTGTTGGGTACTATATTCTAAGTAGTGTGTGTGTGTGTGTGTGTGTGTGTGTGTGTGTGTGTGTGTTCAGCAAAGGTACGTATTTTATGATCCTCACTCTACAGACGAAGATACTGATACGAAACAGGTGAAATGATTTGAATCCATACTATTGGTAAATGGCAGAGTCAAGTGGTCTAATACGAAGCCTTGAGCTCTTATCTACTAAAGCTTATTTGACTTGATCAACACACAGAGAACCACTCTATCACCATCTTGCAGTTAATGATTCAATTGGATATATGATGCATTATTCTCAGTCACTTAAATATGTGACATATGATCTCACTGACTGCTAGCTTAGCTATTGCTTGTTAGCATGGCTCTTCCAGTCTAGATATGTTAATTCTGTTCTGCCGAACCTATCCCCTTGGTTAGTTTGTACTCCTATGGTTCGGAATGCCACTTCGTCCCTCTGACTTTCACACCTTTGCTCTAAGTAAGAGCTATAAAGATCATCTGTTCCCCCATGAAAGAGATAATGACCAGCTTACTACTTTCATGTATTATGTCAACATATTTTCTGTATTGTCCTATGCAATCAGTAACGATACTCGGACATTGGCAGACTTTAGTTGAAATCAGGACTTCAAGACAAGTAAAGGAACAGAAATCAACATTGACTTGAAAACTCCCTTCTTTACTACGTGTAGTTACCTAATGATCCCAAATTAGGCAAGGAAAAGTGGAAATGAGGAAATACTGATGGCAAGTGAGAAAGAGGAATTCAAGTGGAAGGGCAGAAACATTTTATAAAAAAACCCCATATATACCTGAAAACTTTTCACATCAACCTCACAGACCAGTTCTATGGAAGAAAAGAATCTCACCAGAAAATACAGAAATTCTCAGGGGAAAAAAATACTTTTTACTGAAATTGCAGTTATAATTATATTAACAAGCAAAGCCAATTTCTGAAATATATTTAGGTTCAATCAAAATCAATTTTACTTTTTCGAACAAAGCAAATGTGGGTCTGTATTTGTTAGTGTTTTAAGCTCTAAGATATTATCAAAGAACATGGAACTTCTAATTCACTTTAAAGTCAGAATTTAGTAGCTTTCAAAAGGCAAGTACCAACTTGAATTTAACTAATCAAACTAAAAAAGATAAAGGAAACATTAAAAAATGACCAGAGGGGCAGATGAACCATATGCTCTTTGAATAAATGGGTCTTGTTTCCTTTAAGAAAAAGCAGTATTAGAAAGCTAGTGTAACTCAATAAAAATATATTTAACCTGCCACAAGTGGTTGGAAGAACATCCCCTAATTGGCATTATACAACACTTGGAGCTGATACAAATACCGCCCACCCCCTTTATATATCCAGTTCTGAGAATCCTATTCACCACTGCTCCCTAGAAAAATAAACTATGGAGAAGAAAAAGGTCTTTCAGAACTTCTGAGTATTTCACCCAAGCACAGTCCAACCATGCTTGCAAATAAAAAGCTTTTTAAACAAAAGCTGTGGCCCATATCTACAATGACAAATACTATTTTCTAATAATTATAGCATTATTATTTTGTGCAGTAATTTGACCTTTCCCTCTAAAAAGCTAGGACTATATCATAAATTTTGTTCTTAGAACAGGGCTAAGTATATAGTAGTTACTTATAAAGTATTTCTTAAAAAAGCTGTAAGTAAATGGGAAATAAGTTTGACTGTCATCAAGAGTCATCCTCTTATTCTAGAAACCTAAAACACAAAAGATAAATCCACAAATACTCAAAAATAAGTAAGAATTTGAGTAGAAAGTAGAAATGAGACAGAGAATGGAGAATTTAATTTCTATTTTGCTTCTGCATACATTATATTAAAAAGGATAGGCTTCACTCTGGAAAAAAAAATGGATGAAATAAGTAAATTAGAATGGAATTGTCTAATGAGTAAAGAACTTGTCAGAAATCATCTAGTTAACCAAAAGAAGTTCAAATTCCTACATTAGATAAGTTATATATCAAGGTACTCAGAGAGCTTCTAAATAACAATGCTAAGCCTCTCAGAGATATTGGTAGAATTAGGAGAATCACACAGATGTCAAAAAACTAAAAAAAGGAATATGTTATACTTTTTGGAAAGAAAAAAGAACACTTTAAAAGCTTGCAGTATTCAGAGAAAATATAAAAGAATCTTTTTATAATCTTTGAGTGGGAATGACCTTTCTAACTATAATACAAAATCTGCAAGCTATAAATTATACCCAAAAAGTCCAATAAAATTCACTAGTGAACATTTAAAATCTCTCATCAAATATCAGCAAAGTCAGGCCAGGCACGGTGGCTCACGCCTGTAATCCTAGCACTCTGGGAGGCCGAGGCGAGCAGACTGCTCCAGGTCAAGAGTTCGAAACCAGCCTGAGCAAGAGCAGAGACCCCGTTTCTACTATAAATAGAAAGAAATTAACTGGCCAACTAATATATATAGAAAAAATTAGCCGGGCATGGTGGTGCATGCCTGTAGTCCCAGCTACTTGGGAGGCTGAGGCAGCAGGATTGCTTGAGCCCAGGAGTTTGAGGTTGCTGTGAGCGAGGCTGATGCCACAGCACTCACTCTAGTCTGAGCAACAAAGTGAGACTCTGTCTCAAAAAAAAAAAAAAAAAAAAGATCAGCAAAGTCAAAACACAAATGACAAATTAGAGTCAAAACACTTACAAATCATATTAAAGACAAAGGCTAATATCCTGAAATATAAAGGAATTCCACAAATCAGTTAAGAAAAAGACCAAGAACTCATTAACAGAAATGGGTGAAGAATAAGAAATCACAAAAAGGGAAATTCAAACATCTTTTAAATTTAATTTTTATAATTCACAAATAATAACTATACAGATTTATGAGGTACAATGTGATGTTTCAATGCATGTGTCCACAGCTTAATCATCAAATCAGGGTAATTACCATGTTCATCACTTTAAACATTTATCATTTCTTTGTGTTGACAACATTCAAAATCTTCTCTTCTAGCTACCTTGAAATATATACTACATTGTTATTTGTGAGTCACTCTACCGTATATCAAATATATCTTAAACATATAAAAATATATATAGCCTCACTCATGAGAGAAGTGCAAACTAAAACTGTAATGAAACACCCTTTTTCTTATCATTGGCAAGAATAAAATCCTGGTAACATACCAGGTTGGTGACAATGTGGGAGAAGACAGGCACTCTCACTTTTTTTTACTAGTGGAAACATACTGGTGGGCAATTTGACCAAAATTACCAAAATTATAGTGATTCTTCTTCTAAGATTTAGCCTAAACATATAAATACATGTACAAAATAA